AGCCATGCATCTTTTTTGTAAGCAAATTTAACTTCTCCCTCTCTCTCTGATGAGACATGTATTGGGCACCAGGAAGAGAGAAAACTTTTTTTTTTTGTTTAATTTGCAAAACTTCAACAAGCTTCACCCTGCGTTGTTGGAAGGTGAGAGCCAAGGAAGAAGATGCAAATACCAGATGATAACAGGTCTCAGGTGGGCAGGTGTACACAGGGAAGTAGAAATGAGCTTTGCAGAAAAGGAAGAGGTTCCTGAGAGGTAGTTTCTCAGTTAATATCAACTTACTTAACCCAGTGGAAGTCTTGGAGTGCTGCACATTTATGCCAGGGGTGTATTTTGCCCTGTAGCTGTAGTTTCAAATGGGTCTTTGCTAATAGCAGTTTTAAGACCAAGTTCCAGCTGTGCTAGGTAGCAGAAATGCCACAGGCAATGAAAGGTGGAAGGGTTCTAACCTTCATTTGCTTTCCTCCTTTCTCCCTCGCTGCATCTTTCTTGGACAGTTTAGCTTTCAGTGGCTTTATGCTATGGATGAATATGTTTTCCTGTGGGCTGGAATATTTCTTGGGATTTGAGGTGGAGAGAAAAGCAAATGCTGTAGTTGGCTTGCAGGTCTTGTTGCAATGAGACGTATGCTGCTTTAAAGGCATTTAAGGGCAATGAAAATGGCTCACTATTCACTCGGCGTGTGAGAAATTTTATTGCTGCATTAGAACAATATTTACAGTCTCAGTAGGGAACTGCAGTATGCATGAGGTGTAGCCAGGACATAGAGCACATGAAGCCAACACATAAGTGTACATATGTAACTTAGATAGCCACCAGTGCTATTCATTCATGTTATGACTATCAGATTTATACCAAGGGATTTTTTTGCAAAAGCTAAAGGCATCTGTTGCCAGCAACCGGTCACAAAACAAGCAATTGCTGCTTTTCTCACTCTCAAACCCCTGCTCAGCTATTAAACTGGATCAGCAGAAATTCAGGTTCGAGGTGTCTTGTTCTGTCACCTGTAGGTGACCAGACTTGGCAAAGGATTGCATTCCAAAGCTTAGTTTTCTGCCCCTTGCACTTGAACTCAGATGACAGGTGGCAAGACATGTGGTTGTTATAATGGGAGGACAGGAGACCTCAAAGATTATCCAGATTTTTTAAAAGCCTTTCAGAGCTTTACTGAGGTTAACCAATACCTTGAGTTGTACTTGGAAGTAAATTGGGTGGTGCCCCAAATAGCTGCATTGAACAGTTGTAAAAAACACTAACTGTCCAATAGAAGCAAGAGCCACTTCAGTGTTGTGTGTGACTTGTAGCAATGAAACAAAGCAAGAAGTTGAGACTTTTTTTTGTTGTTGCAAGTGACCAGTTATCTGTAAATTATGTATGTCAAAATTATGGGTTTGATACAGTTTGCAAGTCTGACTTTTTTTCAAGCTAAAAATATTTTAAATGTCTTTCAAAGTCAGACATCCCAAAACTGAGATACTGGGGGAAAAAAAAGATACTGTGTCTTTTATAAAAAACTTAGCATCCCTCATGACCTGTTCGTAATGAGGATGGAGCTATACAATACTGGGAGCTGCACAAAAAGCCTCGCTAAAGCAGAGGAAAAACCAATATTGTCCTTCTGCTAATCTCATTCTTCTAACAGAATGTACCACTCCCCATCCTTAAGGGAAGTTTGCTCCTTGACCTGAGAATTCAGCCCAGTGGCAAGGGTCTCCCCTGAGGTCTTGTGGGTGGATCTGCCTGAAGTCCCTTCCTCTGAGGCAGCGATAAAACATCTGTTGTCTTGAATAACATCAATCGTGCCTTAACCATGTCATGTCAAAGTGCGCATTGTGACTGCTTCACTGGATGTTGGCTTGAGGGATACATCTTGCACTAGGTTTGCTTCTAGAGCTCCACTGAAGTGACGAGAAGGAAAATGCTCTTGCGTCTTTGACTCCTTTTTGACTCATTGGTGTCAACTCCACCTATATAGTCATTGTGTTTTCCATGATGCTTGGGGACTTTTTCTGATTTTGTTCCAAGGGCAGCACATCATGTTGTGGCAGTCAGTAATGCACTTTTTTTTTTCCCTTTTCCTGGGAACAGTTGCTTTATCCAGAGGAAGGAAAGATTTAATTACAGCAGAAATATATCCTTCCTCTGCAATACAATGCAAGGGGTTCCTCAGCACTGCCTTGCAGCTGAATAGGATTCAGTAAGGGTTAAAGTAATGCCAAACTAGGAAACTTCTGCTGTACATCAGAATTTGGTCCAGGTCCTATGTGAGGTCCATAGAAGTTGCTACAGTGACTTTAGGGATCTTTGGCTTGACTCCCCTAACAAGATGTATAGACTTGGGATTTCCTTCATGGTAGCTAAAATGAGGTCTTCTGCGTGTTTCGGGGGGCGATGGGGGGTACTGTTTGTTTATCTGGTTGGTTAGTTTCTACAATTATGATGATGCATAATCCATTATATTGGTGAATTGTGTGTGTGTGTACCTGTGGTTTTTTTCCTATGAAGTTGAACCTGTAATTGCTGCTTGCCTCTCCCATGTAAAATCAAATGAAAAGCAATTCCCTCCACTGTCCTGCTGTCCTTGCTCAATTGTTCTTGTGTAACAAATATGGCCAAAAAAGTAATTTCTGTTTCCCTGCATTCAATTCCTTCCATTTCTTTCTGATTTTTCCACTGTGTGTTCATAGAGTCTTCAGAAAAAATGGGCTCCCAAGGAAGTGGGATGGCCAGTGTTGAAACCACTTTGTAGTTTGTTTTTGTATGATTTTTTTATTGTTATGGTATAATTTTTGTGCAGTTACAAATCTGTGAGCAATTTGGATTTCATTTTCGTCACTTGTGTGTGGCAGCCACTCAGATTGTCATGGTAATAGCCTTACTAGGAGCCAGTTGCCTCCTTCATCCAAAACATAGCCCTCTTTCAGGTAAGCCTTCAAATCTCCCGTAGTTTTTAGTGGTGTAAGGCTTAGGAGACAAATGGCTAATTGACTGACCAATTCACCTGCAGGTCTGTATGAGCACAGCTATGCCACAGGCTGTTCAGAGCAACGTGGCATGTTTGAGGGCACTGCTCCCTATCCCCAAGTCTACTGTGTAGACAAGCTCCTGGTTGGGTGGAATTTGAACTGCACCAGCCCTTTGGGGTTGGCAAGGGTGGTGCATGTCTTGCAGAAGGCAGTGTGAGACAGGGGAATGGTTTGAAAGAGCAAATAAACCCAAATGACCAGCAATTCTATCATCCTCCTTACTTTTGTGTTTTATACCTCTTGCTGTTAAGTCTGTTCAGTGCAGGGGATGCCTGATGCTCTGGGTTTGTAAAATAGCTGTCTTTTGTGGCCTTGTTCTCTGTTGTGGTCTTTAGACATAAATGCAAATAAATAAGGAAAGGATCCCAAAGTCCCAGTTCAAATAAAATTCACATTAGCCACAGCCATGGCTTGTTGACAGCTGTTTTGTGACCTTGGATGATCCTGGACATTACCATAATACAGATAATTAATAACACACGGAAGTTAGTTTGTTCACATATATATTTTGTAGCCAAAGTATAGAAGTAATATAGAAATAATCCTCAAAAACAGGTATGCAACCATTAAATGTGCCAATGCTTAGAAAAATATTTTTAAGTCCTGTTGAAATAACTTACCAGGATCAATTATCAGTGCAGTAATAAAAACCTACATAACTGGAATAAATCTCTTTTTCTGCTTGTTCAAACTGCATCAATTCCCCAGCTGAGAATAAAATTGTGCTAGGATTTCAATATGATTGGCATCAAATTCTTCTTGGGCTTGGTTGATTACTCCAATCAAAACAGTGTATCAAGGAAAGAATAGTGATTTGTTTTCATAGCAAAATGCTCCAACCCATGAGACAAAAAATAGGGCTGCACAAAATTCAAAGGAACCAACTGGAATTTTCACTTAAGCAGAAATTACATTGGATCTTCTCCTTCTTTTTCAGCAGAAGTGCCCCCTTTAAATTGAGGTTGGGTATTGGGTATAATTCAGTTTTCTTTCTCCCTAGTACAGTAATTGTCTAGAACTGGGATGGATTCCCTTTGCATCAGCTTCTGTCCAAATAAAGAACAAGTGCCAGTCTCACAGAGACAGGCAAAGGATGGGAGAAAGAAAGAAAAAATTCAAATCTTACTTGCAGGACACTGAAACAGTGCTGCTCTTCATTCTGCTTCAGTAGCAAAGCCGAAGATGGGGCATCATTTAGCAGTTCAGTGCAGGCAGGTACAAAGGAAAGTCTGGGTTTTGCTCCTGGTTCTTACATAGGCTTTTTGGGAAAGTCAGTTCATTCTTCTGTGCCTCAGTTTTCCCATCTCTGTCTCTATCATAGATATAACCTTTACTGGTGTCACAGTTGGGTAAGGGTAATTTTGTTAATGTATGCACACAGCTTTGGGACTTATGCATGGAAGGCAGTATAGAGAGACAGTTAATAGGGCTTCTGTATGGGGTCAAACTAGACTCTCCTTGACTGCAAAAGGCCCTTTTGGTTCCAAAACAGTACATTTTGGGGAACTTGTGTAGTCCAGTTTTATAGGTCTTCCTCATACTTCTGCACAGAGCAAATTTGGGAGTGTCTGATGGGTGAATGCACCAGACTGGCCACTCCCTCTGTGTGCAGGGCTGAGGCTGGGGTACGTGCCTCAGGATGACCCCCTGCCACACCTCAAGCCTGAAGGAACTCCCTACTCTGCTGCATGGCATATGCTCAGAGGCCAGGACTTGGAAAGAGAGGTAAGCCAACTGGCAGTGATGATTTATTGCCCCAGGACAGTGATCCGTGGCGTCGTTCTTCCTAGTACCACTTCACTTCTGATCCACATGCCTTACTGCTACCACTCTACCAATGTGCCGTGTCCTCTACTGCTTCGCTTTGGTAATCCCTTCCTTAAAGAACGAGTGTCTGTATAGCTTCCAA